CCGATGCATCAGATTGTTGGTTAAATGTGAAGTGGATGTGTTAGAATCGTAGAACCATAAACTTTTACAGTACAGACCCATCGTGCCTGTAAAAGCTGCCCAGCTAGTCCCACTCTCCAGCCCTATCTCCGCAGCCCTCTAATTTCATCAGGTTCAAATGTATATCCAGCTCCCTTTTGAAATCTCCTATGGAATCCGCCTCCACCACTCTCCCAGGCAGCACATTCCAAATCCTAACAACTCTCTGAGTAAAGCCATTTCTCCTCATCTCACTCCTAGCTCCCTTGCTGGCAATCTTGAAATTATCACCCATAGTTACTGACATACCAATTAGTGGAAACAGAATATCCTTCTTTACCCTGTCAAAATTGTTCATCATTTTTTACACCTCAATAAGGTCACCTCTTAATCTTCTACTCCGAAGAGAATGAGCCCAATCTCTCTAATCTTTCCTTGTATCTAAAATCCTTCATTTAAACTGCTGACTTTGATCTGACTTGTTTACCCTTTTCAAGATCAGTTATGTTTTCCTTGAAGGTGAAAGGTCCTGAGGTCATTTCCCACATTGGACCTGATGTAAAATATCTTGGCTTGATACACCACCTGCAGAAGTGAGGGAGTGCCGCACTGTCAGAGGTGCCATCTTTCACTAAACATCAGCGCTGTAACAGCCTCTAGGCATTATTTCCAAGAAGAGTGGGGGACATGTCTCTGATGACCCTACAGCACTCCCTCAGTACTGCAATGGAGCACCAGCCTTGATTTTGGTGCTGAAGCCCTAGAGTGGCCTTAGAACCTTACAGCTCAGAGATAGAAACTACCCACTGAGCCGTGGGTAAACATGATAAACTGGTACAAGGATTCACAAGATGAGAAGACAAAACATTCAGTTTCACAAAGTGAAGACCCTGGAAAATATTCCATTTTGTGTCTCACTAAAGTGGAACATAGATATGAACTATGTCGAGTCACGGTCTTCAATTTAGACAATATTTATTAAAACATAATAAAGTGTGGATTTCGTGGAAGTGTGCAATCCAGTTGGCTGAAGTAAATAGCCATTAATGCATGGAAAGAGGCCAGAAATAATTCAAGTAGGTGAGACAAAGAACAATTCAGCACTGTCTAGATTTAAAAGCTGAGCTAGTAACGGTTTCAGCTTAGTTCTAGCTTAGCACTGATAGCTGCACTTGTTAATTTACTCCGTGTTCTACCTCCCATTCTGTGTACAACCAATTGGAACAGTCACAATCAACAAATTGGGAAAGGCATTGGGAATAATCAGATGGAATGCAGTTTCACAGCATTCATTTCACAGCTGTTAGGCTTGAAGCTTAATGCAGCCAGCATTTTCATTTCAGGGATAGAGTTCTATGTCTTATCCTATGAGCCGTGCCTTGTCACTGTTATAAATTTCATGCCCTGTTAAGACGTTTCTTCCGTGTGATTTAGTGGAAAACTGTTCCAAGTTTTCAACGGTTTCAAACTTACTGTTTTAATTCTTTCACATAGTATGTAAGAAGCTTGTGAGAAAGGTTGGTTGGAGTTGTGGGGGGGAGTGCTGGTCGATGGGTGGGCATTGGAATCTTCATAGATTAACTTTTAAACCACGCTTCCATCACACATTCCTTTAACATTGCTTCAGCAGCATCTTGCCAAAGTTCAGTTTGCTGTTGTTTCCTCAGCCTGCTCACCATTTCCTTCCCATCCGAATGTCCTTGCTGTTAGGGCAGGTGCAGGCCCTCTGCTGTTTTCTCGTTTCTTACAACAACAGGAAGTGGAGGAAACTAACGTGACTCAGTTGCCCGAGTCACAAAGAGCTGGAAAAACCCAGCAGGAGAGACTCCTTAAGGAGTACAGTGAAAAAACTGCCCCGAAAGAGCCCTTGAAACTGCACTCCTTCCACTGAAATTGATTTGCAGAATCAAAAACATTAGAGATTCCGCCTAACCAGTGCAGTGTATTTCAGCAGTTAGTAAACTGGTGCAGTTTTGACACAGAAAAGAATGGATTTAGCAGCAAAACCAGGGTGTTCCATTTGCCTGCTGTTGTGTAACTTAAATGTACTGAGTGTATGATGTGAAGACTGAGATGAGGAGAAATTTCTTCATCCAGAGAGTGGTGAGCCTGTGGAATTCTCTGCCATAAAAAGTGGTTGAGGCTGAAACATTGAATGTTTTCAAGAAAGACTAAGATATAGTGCTTGTGACTAAAAGGGGTGAAAGGGTATGGGGGGAAAGCAGGAACAGGGGACTGAGTTGAATGATCAGACTGAATTGTGAAGCAGGCTCAAAGGGCTGAATGGCCAATTCTGAAGTTTCCAGTCTGTTCCTCTCAGCTTTTTCCCCCTTTTTTCCTGCCCCTTTGGGCACCGTATAGCCCGTGGATCAGAGAGCTGTTGGCAATGGGGATTCTGATGAGAGGGAATAACAAGTAGAAGGCTTTAATCCCAGAGAAAAAGTAAAAGAGGCAATACTTTATAGTTATAGTTCTCAGGGCTAAGGGGACCAAAGGGTATGGGGGGAGAAAGCAGGAACAGGGGGCTAAGTTGGATGATCAGCCGTGATCCTGTTGAATGGTGGAGCAGGCTCGAAGGGTTAATTGTCGTACCGCTGCTCCTATTTTGATGTAACTTGACATAAAGTCACCTAAAATTACTTCATAAAACTCCACGGGGCCACTTAACAGTTGCATTTTTGGTCTCGTAGAAAATTAGTTTTATTTTCTGATACGAAAAGTCATTGAAAACATGCTGATTAATGCTTGCGCATCTAAGAAAATGACAGCAATTTAAACCTCAGCCAGTGTTCTCTCAAGTTCAAATATTGATTCTTTCTTGTTCATTCAACAGGATATGAGTGTTAGTGGCTAGGCCAGTATTTGTTGTGCATCCCTATTTAGGAGTCAGCCACATTGCTGTGCATCTGGAGTTACATGTAGGCCAGCCAAATACAGTAGTTTCCTTCCCTAGAGGATATTAGTAAAAGGGATGGTTTTTCCCCAACAATCGGCAACAGATTCATGGTCATCGTTAGACTCTTAAGTCCAGACTTCTATTAATTTAAAATTCCACTGTCTATGTTGTAGGATTTAAACCCAGGTCCCCAGAGCATTATCTGGGTCTCTGGATCAATAGTCTAGTGATCACATCACTAGCTATTGCCTCCATCCATATCCTTTGCTAACAATACTGTTTTGTGGGGAATTGAGTCAGATGGAACAGTAAGATCCCAGTATGGTACAGCCATGTCAAGCACTGGACAGCTGAAAGGGGTACTGCTGCATGGTGTTCCGAAGAATTGGAAAATCATTGCATGCAAATCACAGGATGTCAGTATGCAGAGGCAGCAAGTAATTGGGAAGGCCAGTGGTACTTTATTGCGAGTGGGTTGGTGAAGAGGAACAGAGTCTTGCTGAAATTACATAGGGTTTTAGCGAGAGTACACCTGGAGGTGTGTGTCCAACTTCAGTCTTCCTTAGAATCCCTACGGTGTGGAAACAGGCCATTCAGCCCAAAAAGTCCACACTGACTCTCCGAAGAGCATTCCATCCAGACTCACCTCCCTACCCTATCCCTTTAAATCGGCATTTCCCATGGCTAACCCACCTAACCTATACATCCCTGAACACTTTGGCATGGCCAATCCACCCTAACCTGCACACCTTTGGACTGCGGGAGGAAACCAGAGTACCCAGAGGAAACCCACGCAGGCACAGGGAGAACGTGCAAACTCCACACAGACAGTCAACTGAGGCTAGAATTGAACCGGGATCCCTGGCGCTGTGAGGCAGCAGTGCTAATCACTGAGCCGCCATGTCTAAGGAAGGATCTACTTTTCTTGGAGGAGGTGCTACAAACACTCACCAGATTGATTCCGAGGACAAGGGAGCACCTTTCTGAGCAACATTCCCTCTGCACCCACTGATCAGTGTACCATACATGATTTCTGTTTCAGAACCCACTGCCTATAAGCAGGAAATAAAAATTAAAGGGAAGATTGTCCCTGAGGAGAGGTTGTACAGACTGGGTCAGTGCTCCATGGAGAATTCAGATGAGCAAGGGATGATCTAATTAATATGTGTATTCCTTAGAGGTAGACTTTAAAAGGCTGCTTCCCCTGATTGGAAAGTCTAGTGTCATCAGTAAATTGTCATAATCTCAGGACAAGGTATTGAGCATTTAGGACTGAGATGAGGAGAAATGTCTTCACCCAAGGGGTCAGGAATCTTGAGAATTGTCCACCCAGATGGATATGGTTGCCCAGCTGTTGAGTGAATTCAGGACGGGGATGGATTGATGTTTGTTTGGCAGGGGAATTAAAGGAAACTAGACAGCGAGGGAAGATGGGGTTGAGGTGGAAGGCCAGCCATGAGTTGTGGAATGGCAGAGTGGTTCAAGGGGCTGAATGGCCTCCCATATCTTATGTTTTTTAACTTGACTTTGGTGCTGCAGATTAAACAAGGTGGAGAAGAGAGTTTGGGAGGTGGGAGGGTGGAGGGGTTGGAATTTGGCCAGAATTCATTGGTCACACAGTTGGTGATGTGTGTTTCCAAACCGTCCATCACACCATCTCTTTATGAGAGCAGGATTAACGAGCTGCATGCCTCAATGATCAGGTATGTACAGAACGAAGTGGAGGAATGCAGACCAGACACTGGGGAAAGATATTGGACACTCTTTGAAACCCAATCCCAGCAGAGGAGGTCCATACAATGAACTCTTAGTGACATTGAAAACCTTCAGAAAACATTGATCTGTCAGACAGCTTTAACTGTACCTTCTAGTGACACAAGCTTATCACATTGAATCCTTTGCTTTTTTCGCTTCAAGACATGGTTAATGCAAGAGAAGATCATCCATAAATGTAATCCCTCTCACATTCTAGTCATTCGTGTTTCAGTAGCGCAGTCATTTGCTGATAAAGGAATTGTTTAATTATCACATTAATTCTTCTTGAAGTGTAGACTGTTAGTTGCCTTAGTAAACCATTTGTTTGTCCACAGGATCTCAGGAGTCAGACAGCTCTCAGTCTGCCAAAAAAGACATGTTGGCTGCCCTGAAATCACGTCAGGATGCCCTGGAGGACACTCTCCGTGTTCGATTGGAAGAACTGAAGAAGTTGTGTCTGAGAGAAGCGGTAAGCTGAGATAGGCAGGTCCTTAATCAGTGACGGAACCACTGGTTCCACCGGTTATACGAAAGAGGCAGGAAAGTGCAGCTCAGTATTACCAGATCAGATCAGCTTGAATGGTGGAGCAGGCTCGATGAGCTGAATGGCCTATTTCTGCTCCTGCATCTTATGGTCTTATAACCTGGACCAGAGCTTTGGAGCAGACACTGAAGGATGTGCTTGCTCCTGTTTCTGAAGTGGGAATACAATGAGAGGGAAGGGATGTGGAGCTGAGGGCAGACAAAATAACAATTGGTTGGCTTATAGATTGAGTGACATGGTCTGTTCCATGATAATTTTGCTTTAGATTTGGAACACAACTCCCAAATTAACATAATATTTGGGAACTGAGAAGAAACCAAATGCTGGCAGGAGGATTTTCGGTTTAAGGCAACATTTAAAAATTTCTTTTTCAGACATCAAATGCCATTTTTTTTGACAAAGTAACTAGTCATACGTGCGCATTTTCAGGAGCTTTTCACTTTGAGTGGGCTCCAGTCTGCCCCACCTGGAAGTGAATATTTTAATGGCATCTGAGTTTGAGATGTAGGACGGTGACCATCGCCAAATGATTAGAACAATTACACAGTCAAGCTGCACAATTTTCTTAAGATAACAAGGTGTAGAGCTGGAGGAACACAGCAGGCCAAGCAGCATCAGAGGAGCAGGAAAGCTGACGTTTCGGGCCTAGACCCTTCTGCGAAGCCATCTCTGAAACAATTTTCTTAAGTTTGTGTTGTGGTTACACTTTAGCCCAGGTGTACTGTTTAACAATCTGAACCCTTCAAGGTTTGTCTTGGGGTTTAGGCAGGTGGTGACCTTTTGGAAGAAGAGGGTCATTTATCAGTTTCTGTTGAGCCAGCTCAGCTCTGAGGAAGGGTCGCCGGACCCGAAACGTCAACTCTGATTTTTCTTCATAGATACAGCCAGACCTGCTGAGTATTTCCAGCAACTTTGTTTTTATTCCTGATTTACAGCATCCGCAGTTCTTTCGGTTTTTTCTTATTTTGAAATCCACATTTCCCTGTTTTCCCACTGCCGTGTTGTCCAAGTGAATGATCTGGTACGTTTTCCAAGCTCTTCAAAGTTCGAGGATGATTAACTCTCAATGGAGTTAGGGGCACCAAGAATTAAGGAGGAGGCTGATCCTTTTCCATCTTCATTGCAGAGCCGACCGCAGTTACCTGAGACTTGAGAGTTTTCATCACATTCCTTGTTTTATTTTCACTCTGACTAAGATTGTAAGAAAGACCTTTAAGTAATAGCGGTGAATGCAGTCAGCAACTCTGTAATGTTGGCAGCATTGTATCATCTAAAGTCTTCACTGTGACAGTGCTCCTGCGTTAAGAAGGCTTTTACAGCATTGGGTGGGAAAGTTGACTCCCTGTCGGATCCTTCAGACACGCCCGGTCTCTATGCCACTGCACACTGCCCTCAAAGCTTCTGGAATGGTCTGGAAAGGGGAAGCAGTGTTTTTGTTTTGTCATCCCAAGCAGCTCCACAACACAGTGCTGTTTCCCCAGGCACAGACCAAGATAAACATCTGTTATGCCTAGAGGACCATCAGCTCTGTGGGATCTGCCTGAAATCTGCTGCTCTTCCAGGTCAAATCTTACAGACTGACCCATTCCAAAGTCCAGTACTATGTTCCACGAGACACACTAACACTTTTTTTGATTTGATTTGAATTATTATTCTCACATGTACCTAGGTACAGTGAAAGGTTTTGTTTTGCGTGCAGTTCAGGCAGATCATACCATACAAAGTGCATTAGGGTATTAGAACAGAGTGAGGAATACAAAGTTACGGTTGCAGGGAAGGTGCATAGAGAGCAAGATCAACATTAAATTTTAAATTTGAAATGCCCGTTCAGAAATCTAATAACAGCGGGGAAGAAGCTGTTCTTGAATCTGTTGGTACATGTGTTTAAACTTCAGTATCTTTTGCCGTACGGAAGAGTGTGGAAGAGATTATAACCGGGGTGGGAGGGGTCTTTGATTATGTTGGCTGCCTTCCCAAGGCAGTGGAAAGTATAGATGGAGTCAGTGGAGATGGAAGGTTGGTTTGTGTGATGGACTGGGCTGTGTTCACAACTCTCTGTAGTTTCTTCCAGTCCTAGGTCAAGTAGTTGCCATGCTAACTACCGCAAAAGCCACCATATGACATGGCCACTCCACAGCCTCAGTAAACTGAGGGGCTGGTGACTGGGGGAACCCCTTTGGAGCTTGTCGCTGGAAGTATACAGTAATTGTCACATTATTACGATCGGATTGAGGTAGTGAAGAGTGTATAATGCTCAAATAGAAAAATGTTATACTCTACTGTATTTTCCATAATGTCCAATTTAAAATGTTTTTGGGATGTGCTTTTACATCATTACGTGTAAAGTATATTTTTGCCAAACAAAAAACCTGCATGATGGTCAGAAACATGTGCCTTTAAGTGCAGCTGTCAGCCCTGAATCCTCTTCAGTGCCTAACATTTGAGCAGCCTCAATCTGCGGCTGCAGACCAAGGGATGGATGGTGGGATCAAGCAAGATAGCACGGACAGAACGGGTCACATGCTCTCCTTCTGTGCTGTAAATCATTGGATGCCTCTCCTCTATTTTTGTGTCTTTTTATTTTGGTTGCAGGAACTGACAGGAAAGTTGCCAAAAGAATATCCTTTGGACCCTGGAGAGGAGCCACCAACTGTTCGCCGGCGAATTGGCACCTCCTTTAAACTGGATGAGCAGAAGATCATGCCCAAGGGAGAGGTAAGTCTGGAGTTACTCAGAATGTACAGCCACTCGGCCCAACCAGACCCAGGCTGGTGTTTGCCCCAGCCTCCCTCCTGATCTTTTCTCACCATCCTTCATATCTTTATCTGCCTTCCGTTTCCTGATAGTCTAAGCTCTCCATTCTGGGATCCATGGAAATCTTTCCTTTTACCACTCCCCCCCCCCCCCCTTTATTCATTTAAGAATGAGGGTGTTGCTGCTGAGGCAGCATTTATTGCCCAGAGAGCAGTTAAGAGTCAACCACATTGCTGTGGGTCTGGAGTCACATGTAGGCCAGACCAGGTAACGATTGCAGTTTCCTTCCCTGAAGGACATTAGTGAACCAGATGGGTTTTTTCCCAACAGTTGGCAATGGATTCACGGTCATCATTAGATTCTTAGCTCCACATTTCTTTTTTCTTTAATTCAGATTCCCCCATCTGCCATGGTAGGATTTGAACCCAAGTACTCAGAACGTTGTCTGGGTTTCTGGATTAACGGTCCAGCAATAATACCACTAGGCCATTGCAACTTTTTCAGTGCCTCTATGTCCTTTTTCTATTGGAGAGTTGAACCATGCAGAGTGCTCTCTTGTCTCTGATTGGGCGATTTTCAGATTGATCTAGTGGGTGTTCTTTCTCAGGGAAAGTCACAAAGGAGCACAGTAAGTGTGTTTCTGAATGAGACCGACTGTGCACTTGCACAGAACAATCAGCTAGCTTGCTGCTCACTTCCTCACTCCAGTTTCAGTACAGCCAGAGTTTTGAGTAGAGTTCCTGTCAGTCCATCAGTCTCCTATCACCATCAGAACTTCCCTCAATAAAAGACCTAACTTTCACCTCCTCTGTTCTTCAAAACTATCAACCCCATCTCAAGCATTCTTTTCTTCTCCCAGATACTGGAATGTGTTGCTACCTCCCAACTTCCCTTTGGCTCCATGCTTGCATCTCTCTGTCCTCATTTACAGACCTTGTAGCCATTGGCCTGAACCAAAGTCACATAAATGAATGAATGAACATAGAACATTACAGCGCAGTACAGGCCCTTCGGCCCTCGATGTTGCGCCGATCTGTGAAACCAATCTGAAGCCCATCTAACCTAAACTATTCCATGATCATCCATATGTTTATCCAATGACCATTTAAATGCCCTTAAAGTGGGCAAGTCTACTATTTTTGCAGGCAGGGCATTCCACGCCCTTACTACTCTCTGAGTAAAGAACCTACCTCTGACATCTGTCCTATATCTATCACCCCTCAATTTAAAGCTATGTCCCCTCGTGCTGGCCATCACCATTTGAGGAAAAAGGCTCCCACTGTCCACCCTATCTAATCCTCTGATCATCTTGTATGTCTCTATCAAGTCACCTCTTAACCTTCTTCTCTCTAACGAAAACAGCCTCAAGACCCTCAGCCTTTCCTCATAAGACCTTCCCTCCATACCAGGCAACATCCTGGTAAATCTGCTCTGCACCCTTTCCAATGCTTCCACATCCTTCCTATAATGCGGTGACCAGAACTGTACGCAATACTCCAAGTGCGGCCGCACCAGAGTTTTGTACAGCTGCAACATGACCTCATCGCTCCGAAACTCAATCCCTCTACCAATAAAACCTAACATACTGTATGCCTTCTTAACAACGCTATCAACCTGGGTGGCAACTTTCAGTGATCTATGCACATGGACACCGAGATCTTTCTGCTCATCCACACTACCAAGAATCTTACCATTAGCCCAGTACTCTGTATTCCTGTTACTCCTTCCAAAGTGAATCACCTCACACTTTTCCGCATTAAACTCCATTTGCCACCTCTCAGCCCAGCTCTGCAGCTTATCTATGTCCCTCTGTAACCTGCAACATCCTTCCGCACTATCCACAACTCCACCAACTTTGGTGTCATCCGCAAATTTACTAACCCATCCTTCTACGCCCTCATCCAGGTCATTTATAAAAATGACAAACAGCAGTGGCCCCAAAACAGATCCTTGAGGTACATCACTAGTAACTGAATGATCTTATTGTCATGTGTATTTGACATTGAGAAAAACAATAAAATACAGTGAAAAGCTTTCATTTGTTGCCACGATATGGCACCATTGTAATAGCTTGAAAAGTAAGAGGAAAATGAAAAGATATAGCTTAACACATGACCACCTCTGTGACTGCACTGTGCCTCCTCATCTTCCTGCATCTCTCTGCAGCCTTTCTTTTTATTCGTTCATGGGACTTGGCTGGGCCAGCTTTTATTGCCCATCCCTAGTTGCCCCAAGGGCAGTTAAGAATCAACCTCATTGCTGTGGGTCAGGAGTCACATGTAGGCCAGAATAGTTAAGGATGGTAGATTCCTTCTCTCAAAGGGCATTAGTGAACCGGATGGATTTTTCCAACAATTGACAATGGATTCTTGGTCATCGTTAGACTCTTCTGTAGGATTCAAATTCCTCCATCTGCCATAGCAAGCTTCCAACTCAGATCCCAAGAACCCTGGTTCGGCCACATCTGGAGTATTGTGTCCAGTTCTGGTCGCCTCATTACAGGAAAGATGTGGAAGCATTGGAAAAGGTGCAGAGGAGATTTACCAGAATGTTGCCTGGAATGGAGGGAAGGTCTTACGAGGAAAGGTTGAGAGAGATAGGGCTTTTCTCTTCAGAACGACGAAGGATGAGAGGTGACTTGATAGAGATGTACAAAATGATCAGAGGTATAGATAGAGTGGACAGCCAGAGACTTTTTCCTAGGGTGGAGGTAGCTATTACGAGGGGGCATAGTTTTAAAGTGAGTGGAGGTAGATATAGGGGAGACATCAGAGGTAGGTTCTTTACTCAGGGAATGGTAGGGGCGTGGAATGCATTGCTGGAGAGGGTAGTGGAGTCGGCCTCATTAGGGGCATTTCAGCAGCTATTAGATAGGCATATGGATGATAGTATAAGGTAGGGGTGGAGGTTAGATAGACCTTAGGTTTAGGGTAAAAGTTCGGCACAACATCGTGGGCCAAAGGGCCTGTATTGTGCTGTACTGTTCGGTGTTCTATGTTCTATGTTCTATTACTTGGATCTCTGAATTAATAGTCCATTGATGAAACCGCAAGACCATCATGACTCTGATCTCAGATCTCCCTGATTGATTCTGGGGATGGCAGGACTGATGTATGAAGAGGGACTGGTTCGGTTGGGACTAACTTCACTGGAGTTCAGAAGAATAAGGAAAGGTCTCATAGACACCTAATAAATCTAACATGACTAGAGAGGGTAAATGCACAAAGGATGTTCCTGATCACCAAGGGTGTTTAAAACTACACGTCACTGTGTACGGATAGCGGGGTAGGCCATTTAGGTCTGAGATGCAGAGACATGTGTTCACCCAGAGAGTGGTGAGCCTGTGGAATTCTCTACCACAGGGAGCGGTTGAGGCCAAAACATTGATTTGATTTGATTTATTGTCACGTGTACCTAAGTACAGTGAAAGCTTTGTTCATAAGCAGTACAAGCAGATCATAGTAAGCAAGGACTTACAGAATTAGGGTGAGAAAAACTTGGACACAGTGAGACATACAGGTTACACTGCACAGGACACGCGCGAGGCAAGGGCAACATTAACAAGATCCACATCATTTGAAGTTGGAGAGTCCATTCATCAGTCTAATAACAGCCAGGAAGAACCTGTTCTTGAACCTGTTGGTGTGTGTGTTCAAGCTTCTGTATCTTCTGCCTGATGGAAGAGTTT